GCACTTGGGGTTTGTGACACACATGCGCTTGCTGCGTGTGACCCCTGCATGGTAGATAGGAGTGCATCTTAGATAGGGTGCAGCAGCTGCAGCCAGTGAAGATGCTATCCACTACCAGACGTGGTTCGATGCATGGGCGGTGCAGTTCAAGGAGGCAACGATCGAACAACGTGGCAACAACTGCATGCATATGGAAGCACAAGGGCACTAAGAGCAAAAAGCACACAACGCAGCCTCCAATGGCAGCACCGAGGGGACACAACCACCAAGGCATTGTCCACAATTGCTGATTCATATCTTCCCAAGGCTTGGCCCAACATTGTATCTAACACGTGTTGACTCAAAGCACAGCAAAGATATCTCGGTGCAACACGCCAAAGATATCTCAATGCAACATGACAACAAGAGAACTGTCCTGCAACGTTGCCATCAATGTACCCTGCATCAACCTTTTCCACGTCAAAGAATGACCCCATTGATAGCCTGTTGCTGGACGCCTGGATTGCTGTAACGTTATCTGCCCTTTTCGCAATACAACTCAGCATCAACATTGATGTGTGCAGTCGTTGATCCAAAATTCCAACAGCGTGTCTTGCGGCAAGGTACCATCAAGACGTATTGCTGCAATCTTGCATCAACACCCCAGCAACAGCCCTTGATAGCAACACTCCATCAATTCAGGCATTGATGCAACGTTGCCATATTGCTCTTGATGCAACATTGCATCAAGACCGCTCTACACACACCAGCTCTTAAGACCGGCGTTGATGGAAGTGTCCATCAATGTTGCATCAACGCCTAGCAAATTTCCGGATGCCGCCGCCCCGCGCCTGCATGCGTTTCGATCGCCGCAAGCCTCGCAGGACTATCGCCCGTGACAAAGTCCTCGGCTTGATGGCGTGCCCCTTCACTGGCACGGGCGCAGCAGCCGCTTGCCGTCACCTGTTTCCCAGGAGTTTGGGATGGCCCAAGTGCGAACGCCGGGCCCCAGTGCTTTACTCAGTACTGTATTTGAGTCACGCCGAATATAATTTCAGTAAGGGGCCGGTTAAATATTAATTGTGATGACTGCGCCCTGCAGCCCTGTTGCCACACAAGATGCCTACTCCCGCCCAGACATGCTCTAATTTGGGACTCTTCATTGATTGCAGTGGCGAGAACCTGGCAACATGCTGCCCTCGCTCAGGTTGGTTGAGTCCAGGCGCTGTCAATGACTGTCATTGCTCACGTAGCGGGTTGGTTCTGCTCAACGCAGAGCAGCCCAAGTGCTGGCGACTGCCTCTGGCAGCGAAATGAATTACTTGTTTGTGTTAACCATTACTCGCAAGCGCTGTTGTCAAATATCACACGGGAAGCCTGCAAAATCAAGTACTTAACAAGTTTGATATTAGTTCACATCTTGATCTAGAATCCAGTCCTCGTTGCCTGCTAGCATGGCCGAGAATTTACAAACTTAATTGTGCAAGGTGGTGCAGTGTAGCTATTGGATGCAGCTGCGTCGTATTAAGATTCAACTTCGCTCAGCGCTATATGATTGTTTGCCAATAATTGAACCAAGGACCAAGAACAATGCCGAACAGCCGCCGCTTGGTCCCCCTCCCGTCTCTTCTGGGAGTTCAAAATCGCTTTCAGATGCGTCACACTTCCACGCGCTCTCACATCCCGCTCCGAGCCAGGGCCTCGTTCCATGCTACTGGGATTGTATCTAGTTATCCCCATGCTGAAAACTCCTGCCGCAAATTCGCAGGAACGCGACTGGAAGGGAATGCCTCGCCTCCAGAGACAAAAACAGCGTCGAAGGCCACCGAGAGCTGCCCCTGGGAAGCGTCCCCTGGCGATGAAAGCGAGACGAGCTTTGTGGCGACTCCCCCTTGGTTGTGCTGCCGGCCTCGTCCAACACCCCAGAGCCACATCATAGAAAACAGAGGGTAGAAGGCAACGTGAGGGTGGGAGCAGGACGAGGGGCCGGCGTCCTGGGAAAGATGGAACCCGCAGCATGCCCATGCGAAGTTTTGAATATACTCGGGGCTTCATTCTTCGCTGGAGAGAGGAGGTCCATCCCAGGGAAGTTTGGAAAGGTGAAAACAGGCATCATCTCACAGAGCCCAGGCACAAAAGGGTGTGTGAAGCATCGCTCGGGGGCTGGGCCGTACTTCCACACTGGTAACAAACGTCATGTTTGCGATGCCATTTTTGACACAAATTGATGCCGTCATTGTGAGCGCGATGGCATAAAACGGGCTGTGATGGCATCAATTTGTGTCAAAATGGCATCGCAGCTGGCATCACAAACAAGCTGTTTTCTACCGGTGCCATCGGTGACGGGCAGCGCCTATTGGCAGTAGTCTTAGGGCCAGTTGTTGAGACCCGGCGAGGAGCCGCTGCGGAGTTCCGCCGATTCGCCGCCTGGCTCCCGAGGGCCCACGCCGTTGCTGCCGGAGAGCGGTTTCTGGGTGGGATGAGATGGATTGAAAAGGGTATGGCGTGTGGGACGGGTGGACTAATGCGAGGTCCTCGACAGGCGAATGGTGCTAATAGCGATGAAAAATCCGCTGTGTTATACTGGGGATTTTCTCCTTCGCTGCTGCAGCTGATCTGTTATGCCCGAGCTCTATGGGCCCCCTGCGCCTTGACCAGGCTTGACACCTGAGGCGTTTACCCTTTCTCGGCTCCTCTACTCCGCACCGCTCCCGGCACAGGGTCCGACTGGGAATTGAAGAGTGCTGCTACTGCTCCAGTGGGACAGGGAGTTCTTGGGATATAATCGACGTCGAGCACAAGGTACAAGGGTGCTGTTTTTTTTTCTCTGCAAGGGCAAGCGCAGTCAAAGCAGTTGCTGCGGAATCATGACCATCACTTCAAAGCTGCTGCTCTGCTGACAGGTGTTGTAGTTGTGTGTGCCATGGGATCCCACAAGACACCGTTCTTATGCAGCATATCACTGGGGGTGTGTCCCTACATTTGAATGTCCAGATCAAGGCGAGCTAGGAACAATCAGGGCAATGTAGTTGACTCATGTGCTCCCGAAATTGGGTAGCTTCCCCATGGGGACAAGGCCAGCAGGTACTGGAAGACCCTTGGAGCCGTAGATCTACTCCTTGACCATGCTCATACTTGTTGCTCAAACCTGTTGCCACACCAACTCCACCGCACCAATACATAACGACGCGCACATGCACCAAGACGCATGTTGCCAGACCACTTTGAGCATGCAGCTGGTTGCACTAGGTTGGGCTCTGGTTCCTTGGGCGAAAGTTTGCTGTAAAGCTTGCCGAACAATGGCATAAAGTGCCTTTGCATTTCTGTGGCAACAGAAGGCCTGAACCCAGCCGCTTTCAAAGAAACCAAGGCCGTTTTGAAACAGCTTGCCCAGTACACCTCACCCGTCAGTGGCCATACGCCCATGATGGCATTCAGTATTTGGTTCGTCAGTGGTGTAAGACAGCAGCCAGGAGCCCTGGCAGCTGCCTTGGACCACATGACAAGGGAGATGCAAGTGTCCATGGACGGTACTTACAGCCTGTCCACACTGTTCGACAGTGCAATATTTGCTGAACAATGTGTGCAAAGCTCTGATCGCCAATGAGGAGCCATGCTGCTGCTGTTGTCTTCCTGTGTGAGTACCACAGTGCTGACATGCCCTGACAGGGCACTGTCCTCAAACTTTGCTTGGCTACATGGTGGCCAACCCAGATCCCGTTGTACAGGGACACCGGCGGCGTGCAACGCATTCCCGTTCGCGGGCGCCGCGCGCACAAACGCCAGTCCAAATCTCTTTGTATGTGGACAGCAGCGGTGTAGAACTCATTCCCGTTTGCGCGCGCCGCGCGCGCAAATGCCAATTCCAACGCGTCTTACGCTGGCGAATCGCCACAGACGACGCGCAAGTGCGGAACTCAGGACCTCTGTCTAACTCCCGCCTGTGTGTCTTGGGACATGGCTGAGTAGTTTCCTTTTGGCCCGCCCTTGCCACCACGGACTGGAGATAAACCATGGCACTGCTCGAGCCGTTTAAGCACTGGACCAGTCCAGCGGCCTGAAACAGCGGTCAGTGTCCACACATCAGTCTGCCTCTCTGGTGTGCGGTTGCGTTCTCGTGGATTCAGGGACGGGAGGGAAATTGCTCGTTCATTCATTACGAATACAGCATATTCCTGCAGTTGTCACACGAGCATCTTCGCGCCCAGTCCCATCTCTAGCACGGCCTGCATTATTCTTAGTGCGAGGGGTGTCTCTGTGCCCCACTATGGCTTCAGAATGTATTGAACGAACATCCCTGCAAACCCCGAGCTGAGTCCGGAACTGAACTTCAGGGCATGGTTGATAAAGCGATTGGGTGCGGTAGAGAAGTAGATATCTTGCTGTCTGCCTTGTTCATTTCCGTGCCTACAATTGACTGAACACCATCGCTCACGACGACCAGACGGCAACACACACTCGGCTTGCTCTGCAACACATCCTGAACTGAATTGCATTGACTTTAGTGATACGCACTGGGTTGAACTTGATTGAATTGGAATTGGTGCATTACGATCCGAACGACCGCAAGTTCATGTGTGTGCACAAATCGCTACGGGTATTTCCTACATTCCCCGGTTACCTGGCTGCGAGCATTATAGGTCTTACAAAATGTGGGCCAAAATACCCCAGCCTGTACAGTGCATTGCTCAATCGATGAAACAGCTTTTCCCATTACCACATGATACTCGCTGATTCTCTGGGTTGATTGCTTGTATCTCATGGCCAGCGACAGGCCTATATTTCAAAAAAAAAGCTTGCTGCGTTCCATAACCTGAGAAAGCTGGAATTTTTGTTCCAGTGTTTGCGACCCTGACGTTATTTTCCTCTACAAATTCATCGAGGACTTTCCGTTTGGATTATGGTAATTTTGTTCGAAGAAGAGGAGGTAAATATTTTCTACTTCAACCAGAATGACTGCACTTACAGTCTTGGCGCAGAGTTAGTTGTACACACAATCCGCTACACAAACTCCAGTGCTACTATTCAGCTAGGATTGACACCACCTCCCTCATGCTCGGCCTTGCGTCGGGATTGGGCGAAAGGCACCGCACGATCAGGTCTTCAAGGTCATTCGGACATCCAGAGGGAATCTTGCAGGGCAGTCTGGCATCTTGTCTTGCTCTTATTCCTGCCCATTGAGCTTCAAGCACGGAAATCCCCTTCGACGCCACAATCTCCATCGACACCATTCCGAAACTAAAGACGTCGCTCTCAGTGCTGCTGGGCTCGCCATCGAAAATTTCTGGTGCTAGGTAGAACGACGTTCCCGGCTGCTTTTCCAGTGTCGTCTCATTCCTCCAGCAAATGGGCTGCGCGACGACATCGCCAAAGTCGCACACTTTGATGATCGGCCAGGAGTCCTGGCCATCATCGAAGACAAGAAAGTTCTGCGTGTTGATGTCACGATGAACCACCCTGCTCTCATGCAAGTGGAGCAGGCCTTTTGCAGCCTGAAAAAGAACATGGCGTTTTAGCAGCCAGTCCTCCGGGTCTTGCCGCTTGTACCAAGTCTCCAGATTTTCCGTTCCCAGTTCCATGACCAGAAACGCGTTGGGATCTACCTCGCCGTCGCGAACGATGCCGCTCATGGCCAGAACACGCGTAACATGCGGATGGTCGAATCTTGCATTGAGGGCAGCTTCCGCCCACAGCCCCGCCAGCGCCCCGAGGCCGCTGTCCAGACCCTTCATACCTTTAGCCACTTTAAGTGCGACGGGTCTGCCTTTCCAATTGGTCCTGTATACGGTGCCCTGGCGGCCGCTGGCAATCAATGTCTTGCTCTCCCACTCCACGTCAGTCCTGCAGATTTGCTCCACGCGATCGAGTGCTCCCCTTATCCTCGATCGAATATCAATCCACTCAGGCAGGAATGATTGGTTGCCAATACACTCGGGACCTCGTATGCCAATCAGAAACCCAAGGTGCTGCTCAAGGAAGACCCTATCCTCTTCTGCACTCCCATCCGGAATCTTGTTTTGTGCGCTGGCCGTGCTGCCTCTCATAAGTTGTTCAACCGAGATCAAAATATGTGCGCAGCAGTCTTCCACCAAATACACCGCTTCAGACACTGTGTAATAGTTCCACAGGTCGAATTCTCGAGTGTGGCTTGATACAAGCATCTTTCCATCTGTGATGGCCTTGACCAGATCATTCCAGGCTTTCAACTTTGGGCTGTCAGCATGGAATGTACATGGACTCTCTTGCGATATGATCTTTGCGTGTTCCATGCAGGCATGCAGGAATTTCAGCGTATTCTCGTTGTACCTGATGCTAGGCAGCATTTCTCCCACTTCGTCGATCACCGCATGCAGCGGCTCAATGGAAGCCACCTGAAAACCGAAATGCATATGTGTCAGCAACACTTCAGGTATATGTCGAGGGAAACGTTCACAAGCGTGTTTTCTGGAGTTACAAGGCTACTATGCCGCAAAGTTCCCTTTGCTCCTATTTGAAATATATTTTCCTGGAAGAGGCTTGGTATCATCAGCCGGCCCAATTGAATTGCGTGAAACTTCCATACACAGGTCTTTCAGTATACTAGACATGTACATTCTGATTACTTAGCATTTTCTTCAATTGCTTCAGTATGATGGCACCTAGATCTGTCTTGAATCCCCGGATGTTTTACTGCATTGATCAGAAGGTGCATGGTGTGCGCTGCACATTGTGCAGTACATGAAATTTCTGCGTGAACATATGTTGGATGGAAGATGCTCTCAAGGGAATTGTTTCTGTGAGTCAACTCTGTCCCATGGGCCTCCACATATGGAAAGATAGACATATGGAACACATATCATACACATATGAAACGGTAAAACAGTACACCACAGTGGAAATTTGGGTTCTCAAAATTCAATCATAAAGCGCTCTCCTTTGCATGGCGTCGCTGAATCAAGAGGATCCAGCAATACATTCATTAGTCAATGCTATTCTACTTAAGCCACAGCTTCGACTGAGAATGGCTCATAAAAATTCCTTTATAAGCTGTGCGAATCAGCAACAGTGTAATAAAAAGCGCTGTAAGCTGTGAAAGATACTTGAAATTGCTTAATATTTTCTATTTTAGTGTCACCTTTTCAATATGGAACCAACTTGAGCGATTGTCAATATATACACTGAAGCCATGTTACCAGCTTAGTCGCATTGCTAAAAAAGTTTGCAATGTCAATTCTACCTTCATAGCAGACTCTCTGCGCTCCATGTCTGAAGTCCACTTGCTCACCGAACGGCATTTCTGTAGCGCTCGTTGACTGATCAAATGTCGCGAGGCAACAAGAGCTAATTGCATCATTCCAGCCAGCAGCAACGTTCCCTGCAAAATGCCAAAATTCGACAAAATTCAATTACTCGTACGTGGAATTGGCTCCCAAGGATCCCTACACTGATATACAGAACGTATTTCGTCAATATCACAGACTTGAATCTCCTATGCAGCTTCCATCCGTGGTGTAAACTTTCAAAGGAGCCAAAATTTAGGGAGAACGCTACATTGAATTTGTTACACTTGCCATCAAATGGACGCTATTGGGGGAGGATTCTAGGGCGTGGATGCCAAGAGACAATGTAATTAAAATAAAACCCACATATGCTGGGAAGATAGAAAGAACCGCAGCTGATCAGCAGGGAACAGCCCATCAATTGTCCCGAACCCTCCCTCAATTTTCAGTGATCAAAAAATCCTTAATATTGATCGATTTTCAACATTTGGGTTGGCTCCCATCGCCTGTCACGGCTTTGACATTTCAATTTTCAGTACAATGCAATTGATAAATTTGGTTTGTTGTCCCTACAATATTTCTTTCAGTTTTATTACACTGTTCAGCAATGCTACTGAGTCGCCCTGCCGTTGAAACAGAGATACAAACTAAGAAAGAAAGTGGGGGGCCACGCGGAGAAGGGAGGAGGGGGGGAGGGCAGCGTCAATTTGATGCTAAGCGCACAAAACAATGTCTTCGCCTGCATAGCAGGTTCAGATCTAATATCGGGCAGTGGTTGTGATTTTGGTCATCTTGAATTGGCACTGACAACAAGCAGCAAAGCTTCCTGGCCATATGAGGCAAACGACGTCAAGTCATTATTTCTGCCATGCATTGATAGCTAATTTTTCACACAACAGGCAACTAGAGCAACGCAACACCCCCATGAAAGTTTATCAGCTGCATCACCCCACCTTTGACCAGTCTCCAATCCATGACCAAAGCTGCAAATTCTCGTTTTCTTCATGTCGGTGGACGTCCTGCGCAAATGGCGATACGTTACAGACTTTTTGTCGCTTCAGGTGGTAGCCAGAAATGTTTTCTAAGCAAATTGAAAGCGCCAACTGAATTATTGTGCCATTCCAGCACCAGCACTAGACTTCATGCCCGCATATCGAAGACACTTGATGCGCAATATAACTTTGATAAACTTTGCAGTGGAGTGTGTTTCTGTACAGCATTTATCCTCTTGTGTAGTGCTGCTTGCAGCGCCATACTGTTCCAAAAGAGTGACGCACCTCTGTATGCACTACATCAAAGATCCACTGCCTAATGACCATTATCTTCTGCAATGCCGTCTCCCTGTGAAAGCCCTGCACCATGTTGCTGTGGGACACAATGCCTACAAGCAAGTCCAGATCAGGCCTCCCCTCTTGAAGATGAACGAGGTCATTAGGGCCTCCGGGGCTGTGTAGTATCAATGCCGGGCCACCCGAACAACCTGCGCCACACCGCCAGGTGAATGTGATTAATGAGGAGCACAACCCATCTTTGGAAGCAACAGCTAACCGTCATCGCTAATGCATTCAGATGGTTTGTTAGTAAGCAAAAAGGTTGGTGTTGACATGAAATGAACGCACCATGAAGAGACTATGAAACCTTCTGCACAATCGCCGATCCCAAGTTTTGGCTTGGTCAGTACCGAGTTGGCCAAGCGACTTTCCTGCCCATTATTGTACCCACACCACAGCCAATAAAGCAGCTCCCGTTGCCCGTAGTGACCTTGCTAGTGGGAGTACCACATCTGTGAGGGGGTCTGCTGCCAAGGCACTATTAACATGTGGCAGGACCAAGGCGGCACCAAGGCGGTGCTCTGTTGGCTTTGGCACCATAAAAACTATCAGAAAACACTATCTTTGCGATGCCAATTGAGATGCCATTTTGACACAAAGTGATGCCATATCAGTGATTAGGATGGCACAAAAATGTGTGCGATGGCATCAATTAGTGTCAAAGGGCATCGCTGTTGGCATCGCAACAATGTTTCTACTGGTGCAAGCAACGTTGTGGACGCACGGCTGTGGATGTATTCCTTGTGGAATCCTTTCAGGAGGCAGACAGTGACCTCGCACTGAGACCATAGGCCTGGAGGCCGGCCGGACACTTGTGGCCAAGAGGTGGGTGGGCACACAGAAAAGAAGTTGCAACATGTTGTTTGGCGCTTGATACTTTGTTGGTAAAACGGGGTGGCGAAGAGGCTACATACGACAAGGCACAAACGCTGGTCAGGATCACCTGGATGATCATTGTTTTGGGTTTGAGAATGGAAACGTCGTCGGGCATTGGAATTGGCAGGTCGCTTCGAGCTGCTACTGAGTGGTAAAGCGGCCAGCAGAAACAGCCAAGTACGTTGGGTAGTATGCCTCGAAGCTAAGGTACATAGGGAGTGCACGCCTGAGCATGATACTCCCATCACCCGAACAGTATACCCCGGAACGATGGAGGGGATCCTGCTGGTCACCAACCCAGACCCTGATTCCAGGAGACACGAATGGTCACTTGGATCAACTTCTCCAAGTAAAGAAGCATGGCTCCTTGTCCCTTGCACCCCCAGTGCCCCTAGTGCCTTGCTCGCACTCGCAACCTGGGAGCCAGCCGAGCGGTCGAAGTTCACTCCACATCGCTTCAGTCAGCCCTATCTCGAATTGACATGGCTGCACTTTTCCACGGTTCTGACATGTTTCTATATTTTGGTAAGAATATCACTTGGCCCTTTTGCCATTGGCCCGTTTTGGTTATGTGCACATTTCCTTGTTTACGCCTATTGGGGGCCATCAGCTTCTGACAAAGGCCGTAGAATTGACCAAAATAGAAACGCGATTTACGATTTTCCTGCAACAATGAACAGAACCTATCCATGCAGGCGTTAGCTGTGGCGCCCCGGGCACCGGCAGGCATCAATGCAGTAGGTGCTAGCAGTCCTCATTTTGCAATCCAATGCAACATCCATGGAAACACTCTCGAAATATGCGCACATATGGCAGCTCTGAATTCGCAATTCACATGTGCTCCAAGGGAGGGATAGTGCAAATACGGAACCTTTTAGGGAAGAAGCCAAATTGCGCATAACGATATCGATGCACAATCATGCTAATACGTCACAATTTGACAATTACGCACCTTCCTCCAGTGGGAAAGAATCTGAGAGCATGCACGACATATCTGGACTCAGGGCTCTCAGGCCCAGCCACAAGTGGTTTGGGACCACGGTCATCTTCGCCAATCGAAGGCTGTCTCCAAACGCTGGCACAAAGAGCTGCGTTGAGGGACGTAGATTGAAGCTGGGATCAGCGAGGATGGGACTCACGACGCCCACAGAGCGATCCAGGAGCAACAAAGCGGCATCCCAACCATTCTCAAGGTTGCCATTCCATTTTGGATGAATTATCGATTCCACCACCTTCAGCTGCAAATGGTAACGCCAGTGTTCATTTACTTCAGCCTTGCAGGTAATGCAAATACTGCATTCCTAGAAACTCATCGGAAGGCAGAAATTGAGCACACGAACTGCTATCACGAAATTGAAGCGAAGCAAGCAAAAGAGTATCAAGTCCAGGCCGAACAAGGTGACGTTCATTTAAAGGCTGTCCCAAGCCCGGAACTACAGCAGCGGAAAGCTGAAGAGCGTTTGTAAGTGCATTTTGGGGCAACTGCAGCTGAAACGTACCGTATCGCCAGCAGTAGGTCCAGCACCCCCTGTCTCCCTTCGATTTATATGCACTCTGGGCAGCTTTCCCACAGATTCAACGCAGTGCGCCGCTGTCAATACCCACGAGCCTTCTATCAAGACCCCACTGCACTTGTGACCGTAGTTAACTCCGCTGATGCTGACAATATAATCGAATCGTCCAGCTGGTGCATCCACCACTCCTTCCTGTTAAGCAGCGCAAGTCTTATTGACACAACTCCTTGTTTTCCCAATAAACGACAGATAAGAGGTTCCTGTGGTCGAGCCTTAACTAGACTTACCTGTACAACGGCGGAAAATCGCAATTGCAGTTTTGTTATAATCACGTTGCACAAGTACTGCACCCCGGTGCGTTACAAAATCCTGTGCACTCACACAGAACCGGCGCTATGAGCTATGTATCAATTCCTGAGGAGCTTCAAGACATTGCGCATTGTCGCTCTCCACAGCCAAAGAGAGCCAATTTATTGCATGTCACTGTGTGTCACTTTCCATTGGTGCCAGCCTCTGTGCGTGATATGTGATCTGTGTGGATAATTGTTGCAGTTCATCAGCAAAATTCCTCACAGTTACAGTGGGGTCAATGCATTTGAATGATCAAATTAGGATTGTTGCTGGCAGCTGATGTCTGTGCAAGCAAATGTGTAACACAGCTCAGCATAGCTCAGAGAAACCACTCCACACGATGCTAGCCAATTTGAATCGCTTGGCTGGCAACAGCAGCCTGTATTTCCTCACGAAACAGAAATCATCAATGAAAGTTGAATAAATTTTACTTTAGAATGAAAGTGTCCTGTAGCGATCATTTTACATTTCATGTTTTCCAATTTCAGCAAAATGGACAATTCATGCGTACTTCTATAGCATCTCTGGATCTCTGGGTGTCAGCCTCTGTTTGAAAGGGCATATGACAGCACACATGATGATACATTGTTCCTTATTGGCGCGAATTGCGATACTAGCTGCATGGACCTGTGCTAGCGGCTGGCATCCCAATCACTGCATGGAACGTACCTGGGTGGAAAGCTGGCTGGCCGCGCCAAGAGTTCTCCATTCCGATGTCTCATTCCAACGTTTTTCCATCCTCGGAGCAAGTTGGAAGACGCTAGAAACAGTGGGTTTGGTGAATACAACCTCCACGGGGCAAAACAAGCAGTTGTGAGTTGCGCAGCTCAGAAGTTGCTAACACTACTTCAAGCGCCACGCTAAATGAACGTTCCCCATAGACACGGCGCGCAGAGCATTGATCAGGCTTCGAATACAAGACTTTATTGCGTATGCCTGATGCTCCTTCCATCAATTCTAGATGTCAGAGCGCTTTGGCACGAATTCCAGACAAACTTTCATATCTTTGCAAAGTGCATGCGGAAGTGCTCGACCTTTGTTTCAACGTGGCTGCCGCCATTGCGGCATGCCGATCTTGGCCAACGCCAAGCAGCAGACTGGGAATGCGCTGCGGTGATAGAAAATATGTGTCATGTTCTATGTTACAGGTGATTACGATCATCTATTCTGCGATGGGTATTTCTGACAGTGCTCAGTAAATTTTGCAATTCATGGGCTAGATTAAACGAGCTTTGCAACAATTCAGTGCAGCTATGTATAAGAAATACCACAGATTGGACTGCGTGATTGAGAGCTCTAGTTGCTTGGCAGAGTGCAAAGTGCACAGAATGAGTATAGACTGAGTGCTTGCAGATAAATTCAACTATTGATACCTGATTATATGAAATACTTCAATGTAGTATGAAACAATTTCTGAATCTAGCGCCGATAATGTTGGTGCCTGAAACAATAGAAACTCCTCCACAACTCAAAGCAACTGAACATACTCAAGCACATTAGACGCTCGGCCTTCCCCCACGCCCCACCCCCCACCCCCCACCTCATCCATGATGAAGCTTCATTGGCATAATATCCACACACAATGCCTGTCTGAACACCATGCACGCAAGATGGAATTGGGAATATTGTGGCCTGAAAACATCTATGTAGACAGTTGGTTTTCCATATTTTAGCAATACTGCTACATGCCGCACGGCCTCACATGTGTGGCCGTACCTGGGTCAGTGCCACAGTAAACGCCGCTGCAAAAATGGCTGCATAAAGCACATTGAATAACCGGAAAGTTGATGCCGTGCCCCGCGACTGCAAGAACAAAAATAGAAGATTCACATTCCCGAATAAAAACGATTGCACAAGTATATTATTTTGCGAAAATTTTGAGTTTCACTTTTTTTGGAGCAGAAATCGTCTGCACGAGACTACAGCTATAATACACAATGGTTGCGCAGTTGTAAGTGATCTGAAGATAATGCATTTGCTGCTGCAACATTGTGTCTGCAATATACCGAATGTAATGCTCAACAGTGCTGCATCAAGTGTCCCCATATCGACACGAAAATAGCCAATGAGCATCAGCACTTTTCAGCACATGCATGCATGCATGCGATAACGTAGTGTCAATGCTGATACACAAGATCTGCTTTGCTGGGTGTTGGATCAATAACACTCTGCTCGTGATGTTGCTAGATGCAACACTTGAACTTCTACCCTAATTGCGGAATATGAGGCGGGGGAATTCTCACAGAGGGTCAAACATTGAATTAGCCACTTTGCTAACGAGTCCTTACCACATGCTGCACAGTGTGTAGTGCTGCAATTTTTTTTGGCAATACTTCCCTTCCCGGATCGCATATCCCTTCAACTTTTCTGGAAGTACCATTCCATTTTGAATAAATGGTAAGTTGCAATTGTGTCCAGTCGCTTTTCGAGCCAACTATCTCGCCGCTGCCAAAAGTTATTTCTGAAATAATTCATGTGGCAGCCGTGCTTCCAGCATTCATTTTGAGGGATGCGGCATCTGAACCAGGACGGCTGGTTTGATTTACATTACTGTCTTGTGGGTCATTTTGAGGGATGCGGCATCTGAACCAGGACGGCTGGTTTGATTTACATTACTGTCGTATAGCAATGTGCTTCCAGCCCTTCCATAATTTGAGACGCTGGAGTGCTCTGCCAAACTAGTAAATATACTAAACGGTGCTGGCGTATATAGTTTCTGCAGTGTTATCCAATGCAAGGATGAAAGTATTGCAAAACAAATCAAGCATTCATGACGTCCAAGAACTTGATCTGTTTCTATGATGACTGTCCATGAATATTTCCATGTACTTACATAATTGTACCCTGCTGCAACACATAGTCATTTCGAGTCGTGTGTGATAAAATCGAATTGATTAAGACATGTTGGAAAGGGTTAGTACTCTCAGATAAAGTGTTATATGCGTTGATAGCCCCCTTCGTACGTTCGTAGCCGCTTTTTACCATGTCAACTCACAGAGCATTATCACCGTGGCTCTGACCCTGTATCCTTAAGACCTGAAATCTTGGGAATGGTCCCATTTTGTCATTTTACCTTCCAGTAAATGTATCGGTCTAGGTGATGAATGATCTTCATACTATGCAATGCCATCAACACCTGTGTTTGGCCTTGACACACTTTCAGTGAGTGCGAAACATGCACAGAATAAATCATATTAAAGTATCTGGCATCCCTTACATTCTGAGAAATATGATCATCTTGCTTTGAGGCATCCAGGTTAAGTTGAGTCTATTTGCAACCTCAGAAGTTGGAGCCACGCAAGGATTCGCCATACAAATTTGTTACTTCTTGTTGAAGCACAGCAAAACTATCCAACCCAAATCACATTTTTTCCAAATTCTGGACAGCCGAAGCAGGAATTGCAACAGGATTGCCCTTACATTATAATTGTGTGGGTTTGTTGACAATCATTGTGAGAAATCTAGACATTGGATAAGGAGTACCACAGCCAAATACTTCGAGCTAAGTCTCACCTTTGTGCATGTGCTGACACAATCTGATATTGTCTCGGTTTGAATGCCATTCCTGAGCAGTTTCACAGGATTGCAGTCTTGTGGGTCAAGTCTGTCCAGCAGCTTGCTTTTTTGAAAAACTGCGGATGCATTATTCTCCAATTTGTCTACCAGTTTTCGAACAGTCTCGTCTGATGTGCCTGCGGGTATGTCTATCTGCCACACACGACACAAGGGATTGCCTAGTAAATAAAACCGCAAAAACATGTGTGAATAACGTTTTAAATGCACCATGTTCCATTACACATGCACCGATTACACCAGCAGAAACCGACATTCTTGCATGCCAATTGCGATGCTGTTTGACACTAATTTATGCCATCAAAACCACTTTTGTGCCATCGTGTCACTTTTGCAACCACTGTGATGGCGCCACTTTGTGTCAAAATGGCGTCGCATCTGGCATCGCAAACACGGCGTTTTCTTATAGTACCAATGACTATTGGGCTTGCCTGAGAAACAACCATTCAAAAAGCTCGAATCGCGGTAAGCTCTTGTAATCTTTGCGCTAAATGCAGCGAAACGTATGGTGTGTGCTGCCAAGCCATGCATGTCAATATGATAATACTACAGCCCTATTACAATTTCCAATTATTGAATCAGGCAGGGAAAAAGCAGCGGTTAAGTTCAAAGATGGAGCATGGATAAAGATTCCGAATATTCGTAGTGAATTCGTTGCTCAGTAGTACTTGGAAAACAACCATTTCGCTGTCTCCTCAGGCGTGATGGATTACCTCATATGACACTATGATTGATCCTCTCCTTGCCCCTGTCTCCCTAACATTTGAAGTTCCACAATGCTGCTCCATCTCCAGCAGCAATGCTTGCACCATTTCTTCACTGATTTGCTTTCGCAGCTCAGGATTGGCCTTGTAATAGTCAAAGTTTCCTTTGGCCAATCTCACTTGACCCTGGATGACTGATCCGCCATGCCCTTGAAAGGAGAATGAGTGCCCATTTGTTGTTGACGATCCAGTTCTGACGATCATGCACTGTGGGCAAGAATGCATTGGCCACAGCATCATCACCATTCCAGATAATGTCCTTGATAGTTAACATTTTTCATGCATTCTTAGTCCGAGCAATTCATGCCCAGCATTGGTCATATCTATGGATATCACATCAGAAGTGCCACCCAAGGTTTGAAGAAGCCCTGAAACTGTGTAGATAATCAAAGCATAAAATTGGAGTTATTGACTTTATGGTGTAATCAAATGCTTAAAATCTTAAACATTTAATCAATGTCTGCACTGCTCCAACAGAAGACATTGTTTTAACTGTGCTGCCTTGCGACTGGCCGAACAGAGCACACGATAAATACATGTTACTACCGTCCTGGCTGTAACAAGAGAGTCTCCACTGGCGACTATCACTAGGGAGAGGCCAAGGCTGCAAACCAGTTGAAGCATTGATCTTTGCCTGGGATGAATCTACAATCAGCAAGTGAAAATTTTAAAGGCAGGGACAAGGCCTTCCAGCAGGGACAAAAAGGCGCTGGACTTGACTTCCAGCTTACAGAACAACCACCACGAGAGTCTCAAGTTGCACGACAAAGATTCAGGCATTAGATACTCTTACAGTCTATGCACAAGATATTTCAGTGTCCAGAATAAGAATATTCATGATCTTCAATTGCGTGCATAAACATTCCATAACAGAACCCTTCGGGTTTCATGGTTTCTGTCATAGGGACAATCTGGGATTCCATGAGCAATCCTACTGGTGCGCCTTTTGTTGACATCCAGTTCCAACGTTTATGATACGCCGTGCCAAGCCGAAGACAACCACTCTTTCTGGTCCATTTAACAGGAATTCAATCACCCAATGTCGCAACCATGGGACCGATAGGGCATTCGTGCCAGTTAGCACAGTTCAAATCAGAAAGCAAGATTCCCACTGAAGGCCATTCAGTTGCAACACTGGACGCATTTTGTTATAGTGCTGAATATTTAGTGAAGCTATTGATAAAATTCTACTTCAGTGTATTGCAAATTTCTAATGCTTTAGGCGCGTCTTGAAAGTAATGTCCCCACTTGTGATTGTAGGCAAAACCTTGTCACGTGGAATAAACACGAATATGAAAATCGAAGTGAACCGATGACACGACCAAACACGAAGCTGAAAGAACCTCACATGTTTACAACACGGTGAGATGCTACCTACCTAATATTTGAACCAATTATTGTGCCCCTTCACAAGGCGCTCCACAGTTGATGAGCAACTCTAAAACTTATACTTCGATGCATATCGAAGAACAAAATGTGCAACTCCAATACTCGATTTCTCCGATTTTGTCGCTCGCAATACTTTCCAAGCTCATTTCAGTGCTTATTGACATTTGTGAAAACGATATTGCTGATTTGAATCGATCTTTACAAGATTAAAAGTTATTATATCTTCCACCTATACATTGTATCGCTGGACTTGAAATCCAGTGCACAGCAATAATTTAACCATAGTTAATAACTGTACTATAACCAGTTTTTTAATTGTTAATAGTTTAACTAGTACCAATAATATTATCCGCTTACCGCTATCGCCAAACAAAGAACAAGCATGGCACCCGCAACCGCTTCTGGCTGTGACACCCATTTCTTCCACAGAACCTGCAATGCATATTGGAGATCTCCGATCAATTTCGGTACGCAAGGGGAGTGCGACAGGCTAGCATTATGTGCAGCAGTTTCCCTAGAAGCTTCAAAATCTCCATCGAGGATCAGATCAGCCACATGCTGATAAACAGGTTGTTGTTTACGTGTTCGGCGCCATTTCTATCTATTTTTGCGAAATGAATAAAATGTGAAACGGCCATTGGTACCGCCATTTTGGCGCATTCTTGTGGCTCTCGGACAGCCAAAGGTTATGTGGTGATGTCCTGAACAATGATCCATCTATCCTTCTCCCCTCGCATATGTGCAGCACAGCGCCCACCTCGTCCTCGGCAAAGGCAAGGATACTGCCTAATGAAAGATCGTTTTTGACAAATTCTACTGCGTTTTTTTGCCACTTTCTGTAATCGCTGAATTTGCATACGATGTATTTATGTATACAGAGCTTATTTATTCATACTTGCACATGTATTCGCGCAGAAACATACAGACTAGTTTTGCATGCAATTACGTGAAAATAGGGGAGTGTCGAAGCCCCAAATAGCAAGCCCACGAATAGTGCGTGGCCAACTTCGCGAGCAATACACATAAGCACAATTGCACCCCCTGGTAGAAATGGGAGCGACACAGTAATTTGCCGAAATTCATATAGCCACGTGTGGCTGCTGCATCGGTAACCACAATCTGACTCACATTTTACATTCGGCTGCGGAGCTGAAAGCTCCCAGGGGGTCCCCTTCGTCTTAAAAAAGGTCACCCCATCCAAGGTCTAGAAAAGAAGACCTGGGAAACTCCATGGGCGTCTGTGGAGCATGGCTTATGAAAATAACAATTTACAAATGCCTAATATAGAAGAAACTCCTTCCGTACCCTTCCAAAACAATCCAGAAAGATATTGGGCTGAGAGCATTGAGAAGATTCCCCACATATACATAGGTTGCTGCCAGAGATGTAGGAAAAACTTGGAACCTTTCAGCGCACATGTGCCGCATCACACCCCTGCATTAGAAACGCCGGGTTGCAATTTGGCTACACTTCCAGCAAAAAAAACATGGTCTCCAAACCAGCACCAGTACCGATAGTCAGTAAATCTGGGGTCCAAAACTCAGTGAGGGAAGGATACGAAGGATGGAGGGCAGTCTCGCAGCGCGATGGTGACGGGATGTCCGGCGAAATGGCTCTGAATAGGCAGCGAGACAGCCTATCGTACTGCCAAAAAGCGCCCACACATTAACAAGGGAACTACATCAGAAGGGATGGGCAATCTGGCCTGTGACTGGCCCAATGTTTGTGCAGAGTGACACAAGCGACTATTGCATCATTGAAACTCTGGAAGGTTCTCTGTTTAGGAACACAAGCTTGGGTTGCCCAGCTCACAAGCTCAATTCAAAAGTGATTGAGGTGTGGATGGTGTGAGCCCTGCTTGCAGCCATGAATTTTTCGTCTAAGGGTGTAAACTGCTCCTGAAATTTCTTCTCCTTGGAATGCAGCTACACTGCAGTCGAACGCATGACCAGGCCAGTAGGTGTGTCCTGAATTTAAATGCAAGGCGCGAGGTGCAAACCTTGCCCACCGCTGGCAGGGGGCAGCATAATGATGGTGTATGCCATTCTCCTTGCCCCACAATGAACGATGTCATATGGCAAATATAGGGAGCAGACAGCCCATGCAGACATTGGCATTATGATGGCACTGTGGCAAGTCACACAGCAAGTAGTGCAACAGAATCGGCCGCCCAGGAATGGCACATGTCGAGGCAACATGGCACACAAGGCCTCCATAACAGCACCTTACATTGAGATGCTACAAGTGGCGATTAGTTAGCATGATACTCCACTGGGAGACTGAAACATACTGCAGCCCCAATCACGCACAATCCTACATATATACCAGATGGCTTTGCATCGACAGAATCATCCTTTCACACCAAGTGCGCAGTTTGTGATCTCCACTACATGTATTTCGTGTTGAGAATATGGGATCACTGCCTATAGGATATGGCACTTTAAACTTCCCCTGATGCACGGTCTCTTTGAAAATCCAGAACATATCTGCAACATGTGCATGGCACTACTGGGTCCAAAATATAAGACTGGTGCTGCTTACTACCGATTTAAACTATGGGCCCCGCTGGCAAGTATGGCTCACCCCTGTTGTGTATAATCCTGCCTCATGGGACAGCATAGAGAATACGTAGAATGAAACTAGGGCCCTGTATTTGCTACGTTTACCATATTGCCGTCATAATATGCGACGTTGCTGGCCCTCAAATCTCCACAATCTTAGAGAGCATCTCGAACAAACACAATCCCATATGAAGAATCAGTGGAAGAGCTTTGTAACATTTTGGAGCTCTAAGATCGGCAAAAGATAATCAAAACAACTGTGAGTGATGGTGGCAGGGCAGTCCACAGTGGCTTACCGTTTCTCCTAGATCTTCCTGCTTTATAGGCTCAGCACTGAATGCCTGTTCCAAGCGAACGTCACTGAAAAGCTGCATCCTACTTAGACTGTTTTCATCAGGGTCGTATTGCATCAAGAAGGTTTCGTTTCGCATGCTGATTCCGAGCAAAAAATTGTCTATGCCGAAGTCTCCAGTGGGTGAGGTGTCCGTACGCCCCCAGGGGCTTGGAAAGATAACCTGCAACACCAGCGAAAAGGTGATCAGTAAGAATGACATTGTCACAGATCACCAGGATTCAGCAAAACCAGGGTAGATATTCTGCACCAAAACATATCCTCGGTGGACTTAAAATTGCTTGATACTATCATGTATCACAGGTAGAATAAGCGCATGCACTATGTTAGAAAATTCGTGTTGAAACATTTGGTTGCATGAAGCTTCCGCGACTATGTTTCATTTCCAGTCAAATGTATGGGCACAAAAGGGGCAATGTACTAAAAAATCATGCTGATGAAAATCACCCTTCGTATCCTTGAGTGTGTAGGCTGTATGGATGCCATAGAATAAAATGCCATTAAAGGTCAGGTTCCAACAGAAGTCGTCACTCGTTGTTCTCGCTCATTATCTGTACTTGAAATATTCGCATTTCAGTGATCGTTGCGCATGGAAAATATACATTGCTTTAGTCACCATGTTTCTCTCAGTAAAATAAATGCAAGAAATCATTCTGGTAGTGCATAAACCGCATATCATTCGGACTGCACTGTTCTTGTTGCAAGTTTTTTAATAGTCATGGCGCCCAAAATACCCATAAAATGCTGAGTAGAATATTTGGCCAGCGCCCACATGTTCTCTTCGACATCCAATTCATGTTGCGAAACTCTAACAGAAAGCCAGGCGTTCTTTTGTTGGTGATTCATGCTCCAATACCCTAAACTAAGCACTTAGTGTACCAACTTTAATATCCATAACAGCTGGTTATTTTTGCAAGCCCAATAGTATGTCTAGTTTTTGTTTTTGTTTGAAATTGACCAGCTTGCAATGGCCCGTGTTTGTCTTGAACACCAAAATCAACTGCCAAAAGAGCTTTCAGACCCGTCAAAAGTCTAAGGCTTCTGGTGCATGCTGATCGCACATTTTCAATTTAATTGAACTGCATACCACATCGCACACATTTACACATTAACTTTTTCATAATATATGGTTAGATTTACGTTCTTTTTATTGTTATACAACAGTTTACTAAGCACGGCATCACTGGTCCAGGTACTAAAGCGTGCTTCGAGTACTGTAGAGCTGTCAAATTCCCAGCCTCCTTTGAAGCAGTACGTGGGAAATTCATTAACATCGCCCGCCAAGCGGTGATACCCTCAGTACAGTGCCTCAAAGGTTGATCATGATCAGAGCATTCTGGCCGCCACGTGGACTGACCTTGTAGTTGATACCAACATTGCCCCTGACCTCCGTGAGGGCAGTGATGATCACCCGGTTGTCAACAACCTCGGCTTGTCTGGCAATCATGGTAACGATGGCCCGCATCAATACGGCTTGATTCTCTTTGCTCGATTCGATGTCAGTCCAATTCATGCCACGGAGAATTATGCTTCCTTGCACAATGCTAGTTCGCCGAAGAATCTGCACAGCACATGATGGCAATTATGGCTCAAAGTGCTACAAGTTAGGGCGGACTTTGTTTCGTACAATAGAACTGAAACTACGTCGACTGACGCAGCTGTCCAATTAAATGCATGTGAATTAAATTTGACAGACAGATTTGACAGGTTTAATCACTTTTAGTCATTTAAAATTTGGCAAATTTGTCAAATACGGTCATTTGCGCACTACCAAAGCAAATAGCCAGTAAAATCGCGAACTCAAGTCGCAAACATGGCCACCATGTGCACTTCAAGGGACGACTGTTCATTTGAATTTGAATTTTTGGTATCAAGCAGTTGGATTTATGCAACAGCTACGGACAGCCCTACAACAGTGCAAAACATAATGTACTTTAAAAAATAGGTAAATTTGGTGTAAGTGATTGCATGTTGCACAAACAGGTTATGAAAACTCAGGGAACATGCGGTTGTGGAATTTCGGGTAGATATTCGATGAGGGGAAGAGAAGAGTTGTATGCATCCCCTTCTTCTCAATTTGCGTAGCCAAGGTAGGAATTCCCAAAGGCAGATATCGCTGTGTTAATCGAAAATTCCCTGATACGCTGCAAATCTGCTGAAGTTAGTGTAAGCAATTACTTCCAGAAAGAACTGAATGCCAAAGAGGAATTCTCGAGCTGTGCCAATGAATGAAAAGATTGCAGCGCAAAAGCAACTCACCCAATTCTGTTCAAATAGCCCTCTTAACTCGTGTTCGGAACCTGGAATCATCCTAATACTGCTTTCAGCTGGGCTTGGAGATCGACTCCCCAGCTCTGCTTCCTGGCAACACAAAACACATCGAATAGCAATTTCGCATGGAAAAAATTTTCAAACTGTATTACAATGCCCTCCATACTTCCAATTTAGCCCTTGTCATTCAAAAAATTGGTGACAATAACCAGTTCCTAAGACCGAACAAGCATCAGAATTGTTGAAAATGCCGAAATTCAGCCACCAGAGCCGACGCAGTATACTAAATTCAGCATTAAAATTGCCCAATTCTGGTGAAGGGGCACGAGAAGGAACGGAACACGGGCATTATTGAAAATTTCACCAGTGGTTTTCGCTGGCAGAATACGGCGTTTTTGCGATGCCAACTGCAATTCCATTTTTGACAACAAGCGACGCCACCCATTGACTGCAATAGCATAAAGCATCTGTGGGAGCATCAACTGCTGTCAAATGGCATCGCAATTGGCACTAACAGAATGCCGTTCTCGACTGTTGCTTTCCAGGGGAAATTCTACCACTGACAATGGCGGACTTACCACTGTTTCATCAATCCAATCTCGCATTGTGCTCAGCCGCGTATAATACCCGATGCTCTTGGGGTGGCTGCAATCGTACTGCTTCGTCCCAAAGGACGTGAGACCCACGATGAGATCCCTTTCCGGGTTTCCCTCTTCGAAAACAAACCCCGGCATGTCGGGGACGAGCACGGGGCCGCCGCTGTCACCTGTGGCAAGCGCGTTGAACATCTATTGGAAACATAGCCATCGCAAATTGGAGAGCGTGAAGTTCGATTGGCTGCTGCGTCTTTGGGAACAACATCAAGAGGTTAGGAATCGAAGCATGACCAGCCCAGGATAATGTCTCAACAATCCACGATATGGTAAGCAGCACCACCCTGTCTCATCAGTGCATTTTTTTCGATTTCGCCGCTCCCATTTCTGGATAAAGCACTGAAAGACATGAAAACAACGCCTCTCGCATGCAATGTGATTGTGATTCTACAATTCCGAACAGCATTGACCTAAGCTATTGTTTGTTTGCTAGGTTTTCACATATGAACGAAGATACATATCCACCACATAAAGGCACAGACCATCCTGCGTCCAATGCAAGAATTTTCAGATTAGTCCTAAATTTGACCTACAGTGGATTGCGTTTCAGTGTCATAATTTTTCACAGGTACAACTTTGATGCATCTCAGAAGCAACATCGCAAAAGTCAACCCCTTGGAAAATCTTAAAATTTGCAAGAATTCCATAAAACTGTAAAACATCTGCTTCTCGTCTGTGCATAATGGGCGACTCGCCTTACCAGCGTACAACTTAGTGTGAGATCAGAAATCTGACCAGAGCCTTGATATGCGCAATTTGCCACCTATTCACAGGGTGGTTTGCTCTGGCCAATTCCCAGAAAATAACGGCAGCACTTCAAGAATCTGTGATGTTCACAAATATCACCAGGGACCCGCATTGCTGCTGCTGCATCAGCTGGTGTATGGTGGGAGGTTATGCTCGAAACTTATTAACTATGATGTACATAATATAGACACAATCCGCCGCGAGACCGACATGCGTATACAGCACTGTAATATAGGATGCCCTTCCGCATTGTCACGCAAGATTCGGCCTTTGTATGCGGAGCACTGAAAAAGCGTAAATAAACCAAGAAAACGTGAAGCAGCCCCAGCCGAGACCCCGTCTCTTGAGTGCTCGCAGCGACTAGCGGATCCGTGTCCACGAGTCGCAGCGACGGAAAACCGGCATATGAGGCCATGTGAACTGAACGACATCGCCTTTACGGCTGTGGTCACGATGCGGAGCCCCACAAAATGTGTATAAATAACGGTCTGTCAACAAAATGTGAAGCAACAATGGTAATTTCAAAGTGCGGAGGGGTCGAGTATCCTACGGTATGCCCTTCAGAGCGCTTCATGTGCCTTGGATTGGACAACAATCATGCGCTTCTGGATCAATATTAAGTCTATCTTTTGAAAGGTAAAGTGCTAAGCACCGTATTTCAAGCAATTAACACCATGCAAAGTTCTCAAGGAATTCGAATCTGTCAACGGAATTGACAATTGAAGTGATGATTACAATACGCTGCAGCTGGAGAATGGCATGCTGCTTTTGCTGTCAAGTCAGGCTGTCCACTACTTCTTATGCACAGTGATTGCCACTATTACTTTTGATATGATTTCTCGAAGCACTTCCTGTGTTGTTCTCCTTGTACAATGCATAATCTAATTCTGAGAAACAGGTTGCAGATTGTATATCAGAGTTGCACGCACCTGCACATGTGTTTTCTTCATAAGGGGGAGGAGCCTTCAAGCACATCAACAGGCTGCTATCTACAGGGCAAGAGCTGGAGTCCCAAAACAATATTGAGTGCGTGCCCATCTGCAACTTCTCTGGTAAATCCCCTCCCGTGGAATGCTGCGAGCCCCACCCCAGCGTGAGCGCTGTCATTTTGCAGTGCAGAAAGAGGTGGGGATCTGCCAGCTGGGGAATTGGAATTCCCTCCACTGGGTCGCTGAGAATCAGCACGGCAATGTCGTATCCATCTCGGAGGTGTCCCGGTCTGTAATTTGGGTGCATAATGGTCTTCGATACTCGGGCTACCTGTGAAAATGGACCCAAAAATAATCGTCAGAAAAGAGGTCAAAAACATTCGAACGTGTAGGCTGCACATGCCCTTTCATAAATTTTGCCAAAATTATGTTTATGAACGTTTCCAAGGTGATGAACAGGTCCAGGTAGAATGCTCAAATATGGATGTGAGGCAAAAAAATGTGTCAGCAACAGTAAAACGAATAGAAAAATATAATTGCGAGCGACATCGCGGCGAAGTGACACCATGCCTGAAACGCGATTTCAGACTTACCTGGGTCCTGTTGCCCCCCCTGTCGTTTGTCCTGCAAGCTCCGATGTGCACCAGTCTGTTCCTGGTTACCATATCAGTTGCGTCTGTCTTGCGTACATCTTTTTCGTGGACACAATGCGCAGCTGTTATGAGTGCCCTGCGGTTGATGAGCACCGCACCGCATCTGTGGTCGTCGTAATAGCTCCTCAAACTTGCCATGTATGGGAACCGTTCACAGTTCGCGTTTTCACCATTCTGTTTGGCAAGAATTTGGGCAGAATTGTAAGTGTTGAAGAAAGAATCGCGAACAGGCACCGATTGGCCATCGCAATCGTTGTGAATTTATGATTCAGGTCTTACTCCCACATTTGTAGCGTCATTCTTGTGTCTATATTTATTGTATTATGTAATCACACATTTACTATATCTTAATGATCAGATGTGCTCGTATTGTGTGCTCCCGAATTCGGCCAATTCCAAATCAACCACGCACCATTTGCGGAAGTGCAGCACAAAAGACGGTTACAGCCAGTGACCACAGTGTCCTTATTATGCAACTGCATTGCAAAATTCTAACTCTCGGAATTTCATGCAACGAGGAACCGATAAATCTGAGCACCATAGGGCATAAGTGATTTTCAACTGAGCCAGCAATATCCAAATCAGATGCAGTTTTAGAGTTGGCTGAAAATAAGTAATTTTTCTAGTGCAGGCTGCAGGCGACAATGGATATTCCATACGGATTGATAAAACTCTTTTTCTAAATTGTGATTAAAAAGCATTCTGCCCTTTCATGGTGGACTGAATATGCTGGTCAACGTGACTCAAATTATATGAAATGTTTGATGAACCAAGTTGCAATACAGTTAATTGGAGTACGCAGGCGAAATCAAGCGGACTGATGTTTGGCTAGTCTTCTAAAAATGTGAATACCTACTCTTTATTTATAATATCTACTCTTTACTTGAATGGCATTTCCGCTGCGAAGGTCCAACGGTGTGTTGCCGGGATGGATCTCGCGACGATATCACTTTAATGGCCCTGGCAAAACTCAATCCCAGGTGCGTTTAATTGGTGCGGTGCTAATAGCAAATATCAGGTAATGCAAAAGCGACGTCGCGTGCACATATTTCTTCACATCATGAGAGATGAAACTTCTCAGAAAAACCTGATTGAAGGGATAGATATTGCGATTTCGATAAATTCTATTTGCCTTACGTTACGGGAAAAGGGGCCCGTCTGCGCGGTTTCCGAGCGGCTTTGACGCGTCCGAGCGCATCCGGGCACGTCTGCGCAGCGCACGGACGTGTCCGAGCGGCCACTGACAAGCCTTCCGAGGCCTCGGACGTAATTACATGCACGACAGAATATTCGAAGCTGTATGCGCATATGCGGCATTGCAAGATTTTAAAATATTTTTTATGGATATGTCCGTACTTGATGTGCAGTTCCCTTACTGCTCGTGAAATTGTTTAACACCAGTGCTTACGAGTGATCCACTTACGAATATCTTTTCCTCGTCCGCAAAACCATAGTTGTGGCCATCGTTGAAGCAATCTGCAAACACACCAGAAGGCCGCGTTGAGGCAAAAACCGACGAAAACACCTCATTAAATTGCACAAGGCAGCATGCCAGATCATGTGCACCAACAGACGCCCAGTTAGGACCTTTAAGTATTCGAATATGCAAATTCTTGACCAGGTTCATGAATTAGAAGATACAGTCAATATGCATTCCTCTATCGTTCAGAGCCAAATCATCAATCTGCTCATCTTAAAGCCAGACCGCATTGAATATAAGCCCCCCAAATTAATCAATGCAGGCATAGGAAATACCATCAACATTTTCTGGCGACGAGGTCCAGGGTTTGACGACAAGGCAATAAAACACGTGCAAACAATGCAGCAGTAATGGGCCACAAAATATTTCAGTGGTCTGCATTTCAACTAATTCTTACCCGACAAAGGGCCAACCTTGTTTGTCGTGAACAGTGAGCGAATGTCCAATTGGCCGGAATTGGTGAAGCTTGATGGGTCGGAGAGGAATCTTACGAAGCCAAACGCCAAACATGCCAACAAAAAACATATCCCGCCCACTTTGAAGACAGTACCTGGAGCACAGCACAAGAACATCTCACGAGGAAAAAAAACGCCGAAATAGAACGTGTTCGAACGTGTGCAAAGTTCACGGATTTGGGTCATTTTCGTGATTTTAGCATGCACAACACCGATGAAATGCGTGTATATGCGTTTGCAAAATCTGTTATTTTATCCTTTTTTTCCTAGCCTTTATGAGGTTGCCAGCGAACGAAGCGAGGAGAGCTTTAAAGCTGTAAGTTTATAAATTTACAGGCAAAATTGCGTTTTTCGCTGACCGCCGGACGAGCGCCCACCGCACCCTCCCCGGGAGACCTTCACTGGCGCGCGGGGCGCGTCCAATGGGGACCCCGCAGAAGGGGCCCCGGACGGCTCTGGTGCATGCGTCGCGTCGTGTGCGTCCGTGTGCGGTCACTTTTCACGTTACACGCGCGGGCGTTACGTAACATTGCGGGGCGCTGCCAAGGCACCCACACCGAGGGGCTGGGGCGCAACGCGCCTCCTGGCTGGGCACGGCGAGCAGGCGCACCCCCACGGGCAGCCGCTGGAGGAACGAGCCGCAGTGGAGGACACATTCAACCCCTCCATGAAGCGTTGATCCGCGGGGGTGGGGGTGGGGGGAGAGAGCGGCCCTAAGCTGGCCGCCTAAGCAGCAGCCAAAACGGACAGCCATTGCTGGCCGCGTTGGGTCAACTTTGCCACCGTGCGTGGGCACACGACATGGCAGCAAATGCCACCGCGTATGCCTAAGCCGGGGGGAAAGATCGCGCAAAAGACAACTCCTGTGGGGGACAGCAACGTGTTCCCATCCAAAAGGTTACCGACACAACCAGCGAAGGCTGACTGTGCGATGCACCTTTCCTTGCAGCGATTAGGAACGCGCTGCGGCAGCATTTTTGCCACAGCGTGTGCCCAAACCTGGTGAGAAGATCGTGAAAACGACAGCCCTTATTGGGGCAACTGTGCTGTCAGGGCGCAAGGGTTTCGAGGGTGCAAACGCCCGTGGCACCAGGGACTTAGTCGCACGCGCTGGCTCACGGGCGACCCCAGCGCTGGGGTCAAGAGCATCTGCGATGGCCAGGCGCTGGGGTCGACGGTAGCCGCGATGGCCAAGCGCAAGTCTGCTGTCTAGGTTTCGGGCTCAGCGGCAAGGACCTACCCCTGCAGTGATGGTGATTGGATTCTGCGCACTTAGCAATGAGATTAATCTTTACGACGAGCGAGCATGGTTGCGCGAGCAATGTGTACTTTTCCAACTAAACTGCCGACGAGGAATTCGTGAATGAGACAGAAAATGTTGAAACCTGGTCGGTTGAATGAAGTTCCTGGCAACAGCACAACTTCCAATTACATTATGACCCGTCACCATACTGGCGCAACCGGCTGGATCAACAATGCCTTATCTCCAGGCCTGTCGAAGACTTTCCATGCATGTTGCATGCTTTAGACGCATGTTCTACGCATCAGCTGTCACAAGTTTGCAAAGGCTGTACTACAGAAAAAAGTGATTCTCCACTATTGTTCTTCGTGGTGCCCTTTTGATGTACCCATGACGTCACTGAGCGAAAGCCCGAATTGCTGCTGTCTGGCACTTGCACCGTAAATGAGGGCCCTACTGACTTGCAAAGCGGTCGAGCCCCTCGTTCGGCCCGCTTTGAGGAATGCTTTATGGATGCGCCACAATACCGCTGAAGCTACTCAAATACAGATGCTCGTAGTCTCTGACGCCTTCACCACACGCACAATACCTCGCTTGATTTTCTGGACTGCTCGACAGAGCTAGCCAAATGGACTTATCGACGCATTGTGCCACTGGCCTGCCAGCCTTGAATATTCCACTGAAGGACGGCCCAGTAGTTTGATAACTTCATCATACAGAATGAACCCCCGTTCGTCGGAATGGGGCGAATCACAACACCCCAGAAGCAAATGCGACATCATTGCATCACATCACATGAGCACAGCATGCAAGCCCGGAGCCGCCAACATGCATGGGTGAGCAGGTAGGAGCGACAGTGAGTGATGCTCGTTGACTAACGAGTCCAGCGGCCCAACGCCAGTGAACAGACGGGAGCAGGGGACATTGAAGGCCGCTTACTAAGCCCTGTCGGGCGAACCCACAGCATTCGTTGCGCGAAAAAACAAGGAGCATGCCGTGGGTCGCCGCGATTTTTGGGGGCCACTGGAAGCAACGTCGTGCTGGAAAATCTGGCGGTGGCCTGGGCGAGAGGTGGCGCTGTGAAAAATCGGCAAGCTGCGTGCGAGAGCGCTCAACGGTACCACGGCCGGTCGTCTTTTGTTGGACGAGGTCGCACCGGCGGGGATCCGTACTGCCCGATTCGAACTGGATCGAAATTCGTGTGTGAACGACACGGCGCGACATCGCGCGGTGCCTGGTCACCTCCACGATGTCGAAGACTGCAAAAACTCGAAGTCAGAACCTGAGATCGGGGTGCAAAGTGGCCAGCATCCGGAACCGGGCAGCGGGGCGTGGGGTGGGGTGGGGGGTCGGGGCTGGCTGCACTCCGTTTCTGCAAACTCCAGCGTCGGAGGCGGTGCGCCGGGGCGATCCGCGGAATGCCGTCGGGGATCGCCAACAGCCCATCGGCAGAGAAAGGCATGCAAGATCGTGCCTAGGTCAAGGGCGGGATTTGTACCTCCTGGGAAGGTGCTTCGAAGGGCCTGCGTGCCTGGTGCGCTTGTCCAGAAGAAGGGCCTTGCGGCCACAGCAGCCGCACCAAACTCATTGGCTGTCCGCGAACCCAGCCCGCCCCCCCTCTACCCAAGCCCCCGGCCCACCTCGCCACTGGATCTGCGATCTCATCTCATACCCCTCGGATTGGGACCACTGCCGCCCCTGCACCCCCTCCACGCGCAGGCCGGCCCCGAACAGAGCATCGAAACCCTTCACACGCATCCCCTGTATTACCACGACCTTACCTCCGTCCGCAGAGACTTTCCTGACCTCCACCAACCGGGGAGGCCCTTCGGCAGAGTCGTGGTCCCCCTCTTCCGCCAATGGGCGCTCAGTCCCACGGGCTGCAGGCCTCCGCCGCAGCTCGTTCATCGTCCCTTCGGACCAGACGGCAAGCTTGTCAGATTGTGTCCCGGGGTGAGGCGGTGGTGCGCTGGGCGCGTGTCTCCTCAAAGGGCGCGCCTGCGGCTTGGGCCGGAGCAGGAAGCAGTGGGGTTGTCCTGTGTGGTTGACTATTTGATGGATTTGGGGCAAGCCATTTGGGGTCGGATGTGGGAGCGCCTGGACCACAAGCCTGCGCGCATCAACCAGAATCGAGGAAGGAGGATGGAGCCGGGTTCCCATGACATGGGCCCGTGACTGGACTATGACTCCGGCCAACGCAACTGGGTGATGGCTCTGCACGTCGTTGTTGACATCTGGGTTCATCAGAAGCGGCCGCTGTTCGGAAACGGACTCAGGCCCAGCCCTTTTCCGAAACCTGGCTGCTTGGGGTCCACCAATTGCCTGTTGGACCTTTGAGGCGTGCCATCCTTGCCGGTGGTCAGCGTGCACACAACACGCCGGAGAGGGATGCAATCCTCGTTTCGAGGCCTCTGGTGAACCAACATGGGCGTGTATTTCCGGATTATGGTACTCGCCATATGTCCTGGCGTATGCAATATTTGCGGCGTCGATAAAATGTCGCTTGTGCTGAATATCGAATATAACATTGGGCGCCATTTCTTGGGCATGAACGCTCCGTACTCAGGATGTGGTGTCTTCTTATCCTACAGGTTATCTAGATAGGTATAGTGGCATGGCATGGCTGAAAAATCTATCTTCGGTATTGCGCACAATGGGGTATATTGGCTTTTCTACGGCGTTCCGCACAATGCACACCGCCCATTACTTCACGCTCTGTGTGACGACTGGCTCACCCAGTCTTCACCGCCTTTTTTCCCATGGTTCGTTCGGTTGTGCATTGTCTCAATTTGCTTGAGATGGCTGAGCGACTGCACGGATCGCACATCTCGCATGGATTGCAATTCAGGCCCTGACGCCAGGACGGGTTAAGCAACCCTATAGGGCTTTGCTCTGAGTAGCCCGTTGGGGCCTGCCGTTCTCAGAGGAAACTGCGGGTGCCCGAGCAGTTACACAAGATCTTGTGTAATCTCTAGAGAGGACTCTCTTAGAGAGACCTGTCCCTCCATTTGTGTCTCACACGTAACCGACAGCTAGTGTTCGTTGTTCGACATCCTGTCTTGCCCCGCGCCCCCGTATCACTCAATCCCACACCCACCATCCTTGCCAACCAAGAAGCTTCCAACCGTTATCAGAATACCCTGCATCTGCGTACCCCTCGCACCCTTTGCTTTTTTCATGTAAAGACCGCTTCCTATTAAGGGCCCTGACTCCTTCCTCACATCTTCCCCCATCTACCCATGCTGCTCATTAGGCCAACGCCTCCCTGCGTTGTAGCTGGGTAGGTGGCGCGAAAGCTAAGGGCACTAATTGCCACACGACGTGGCAACAGCACGAACGAACGCAGCGCGTCAGTCTTCAAACCAAATCCGAGAGTCCAGTGGCATGTCCACCCCCTGCCAATTGCGATCATGTACGGCACCATTGATTTGGTGCCATAGGCGGCCAATAATAATTTTCCAATATTGATGGGGGGCGCCAGACTGGTAGACATGGAATCCAAAGGGCGACGGAAGAGAGCAAAACAAACAAGTTGAAATACACATTGCTCGCGCAGCAATGCTCGCTGAAGTGGTGCACAAGCACACAAGCTTTTGCTGCAATGCATGTGCCAAATCGCAGGCACTAGGACAAAAGGGCCAAATGACGTGTGTACGAACGTGCACAAAACTTGCGGTTTTAGTTTCTTTCCGTGTTTTTGGCATCCAGAATCCTGATG